CTTTATCCGTTGCCGGGTCGCGGGGGCAGCAGTCTAAGCAGAGACGCCCAGACTTCCCTATCCACACACACCACCTCCAGCTCGTCCGGGGGGACCCCAAGGCGTTCCCAGGCCAGCTGAGAGACATAGTTCCTCCAGCGTGTCCTGGGTCTTCCGCGGGGCCTCCTCCCGGTGGGGCGTGCCCGGAACACCTCCCCAGGGAGGCGTCCAGGAGGCATCCGGAACAGATGCCCGAGCCACCTCAACTGGTTCCTCTCGACGTGGAGAAGCAGCGGCTCTACTCCGAGCTCCTCCCATGTGACCGAGCTCCTCACCCTATCTCTAAGGGAGCGCCCAGCCACTCTGCGGAGGAAGCTCATTTCGACCGCTTGTATCCGCGATCTCGTTCTTTCGGTCATTACCCAAAGCTCATGACCACAGGTGAGGGAGGGAACGAAGATTGACCGGTAAATCGAGAGCTTTGCCTTTCGGCTCAGCTCCCTCTTTACCACAACGGTCCGATACAGCTCTGACTGCAGACGCTGCTCCCTCTTTACCACAACGGTCCGATACAGCTCTAACTGCAGACGCTGCTCCCTCTTCACCACAACGGTCCGATACAGAGACCGCATCACTGCGCACGCTGCACCGATCCGCCTGTCAATTGTGTGGGCTCACCACCTGCAGAGGGGTCTGTGGTGGCGAGGTGCAGAGAGGACTGGGCAGCAGTCGAAGGCGGAGACCTCGACGACCCAGTCCACACACCCAACATCTGGCTCATGGGACTAACATGTCACTAATATATTTTGGTGCGAGGCCATAGAGAGACTTGTAACAAGCAGAGCTGTTTTAAAGTCTATTCTCTGAGCCACAGGAAGCCAGTGCAGAGACCTGAGGACTGGACTAATGCGGCCGTACTTCCTGGTTCTAGTCAGGACTAATGTGGTCGTACTTCCTGGTTCTAGTCAGGACTAATATGGTCGTACTTCCTGGTTCTAGTCAGGACTAATATGGTCGTGCTTCCTGGTTCTAGTCAGGACTAATATGGTCGTGCTTCCTGGTCCTAGTCAGGACTAATATGGTCGTGCTTCCTGGTTCTAGTCAGGACTAATGCGGTCGTATTTCCTGGTTCTAGTCAGGACTAATGTGGTCGTACTTCCTGGTTCTTGTCAGGACTAATGTGGTCGTACTTCCTGGTTCTAGTCAGGACTAATATGGTCGTACTTCCTGGTTCTAGTCAGGACTAATATGGTCGTACTTCCTGGTTCTAGTCAGGACTCGAGCTGCTGCATTTTGAATGTACTGCAGCTGTTTTACAGCCTGTTTGGACAGACCTGTGAGCAGGCCATTGCAGTAGTCTAACCTACTGGAGACAAATGCATGGATAAGAATCTCCATATCTGATTTAGACAACATATTTTAAATTTTTTAAATATTTTTAGATGATAGAAGGCTGCTGATGTTATAGATTTTATGTGCCTATCAAATTTAAGGTCAGAGTCCATTACTACCCCAAGATTTCTTACTTCATTTGTTGGTTTTAAGGAGAGAGACTGTATGTAACTGTTAATACTTTCTCTTTGTTTTTGTGGGCCAAAAACAATAACTTCAGTTTTATCTGGGTTAAGTTGAAGGAAATTGTTTTGCATCCACTCACTGATCGTTTGAATGCACTGGCAGAGGGAATGTATTGGTCCATATTCCCCTGCAGTAAGTGAAACATATAATTGGGTGTCATCTGCATAATTGTGATAGGACACATTGCTTCTGTGGATTAGCTGGCCTAGTGGCAGCATGTAGATATTAAATAGGAGAGGCCCCAGGATTGACCCTTGGGGCACTCCACATGTCAGTGCCATATGATCTGAAGCACAGTCTCCTATTTCTACAACATACAGTCTGTCCTGGAGGTAGGACCTACACCAATCAAGGGCAGTACCAGAAATACCCACCCACTTTTCCAGTCTCTCCAAGAAGATTTCATGATCCACCGTTTCAAATCTAATAGAACTAACACTGAAGTGTTCCTGGCATCAGTGTTCAGTCGAATACCATGAGTCACCTTTGTTAGTGCAGTCTCAGTGCTATGGGACGGTCTAAATCCAGACTGATGCACATTGAATATGTTGTTGACTAATAAAAAATCCATGAGTTGTTGATGAACAACTTTTTCAAGTATCTTTCCCACAAATGGCAGATTTGAAATTGGTCGATCATTTTGCAGTACTGTGGCATCAAGACTCTTTTCTTTATAAGAGGCCTGATGACTGCCACTTTAAGAGCCGCAGGGAAAGTTCCTGATTGAAGGGATACATTGATTATTTCAGTGAGGACTGAGAGAAAACTGCCTACCACTAACTTAAAAAACCTAGTGGGCAAAACATCAAGGCTACAAGTTGACGTGCTCATGCTGGAAACTATATTCTGGACTGTATTGTTGTTGACAGTAAGGAAATTAGGGAAATCATACTCTCGAGTTGGATTTAAGATTTCTGTTTGTGGGACAGACGTGATTGTGTTTTTTATTCTCTGTACCTTTTCATTGAAAAAATAAGCAAACTCGTTGCACTTAGCAGCTGTATTAAACCCTAGTGGCAACTGAGAAGGTGGATTTATTAATCTATTTACTGTTGCGAACAGTTAGAGTTCCTACTGTTCTGTTGCTGGTGATGCAACACTGACATTTCCCTCTGTGGGATAAATAAGTGAGACACCCACTAGC